GATAAATTTTAACAGTATCCGAAACTTAACCTTATTGGCCGAATTTTTCCGAACTTTTCGCACTAGTGGGTCCCACGTCCACTATTTATCTTAATTTTCTAAAAACTCCCAATGCTAGAAAAATCATCTTAAAACTATAATTGCTCATAAAATCCTCTCAGAAAATATTTCTAAGCCAGAAAATGCAAAATTATGCAATTAAAGGGGAAATAACCTAGGAAAAATATTAGGGTTTTACGGGCTCTCACAGTCGTCACAAAATGAGATTGTTTAGTCACGACTTTGAAGGTTGTCACAATTGACTCAAAGTAACTGAGTTTTCAGTGACAACTTTTAATTGTCGTCACAAAAACTACTTCGCGCCATGGGACTTGGAAGGCGCGAGTTTTGCGATAGTGACGACTTGATAAAAGTTGTCAGTAATTCTACCACTTTCTTTGACAACTTTTCATTGTTGTCACTGTTTATGTTTCTTGACGACCAATTTTTGTCAATAAAACTATAGTGTAGTTAGTGACAACATAAGTATCATCACTAACTTGAACATCTCTAATGCATTTATTTAATTGTGAACCTCAATATTAATTTATTTTTTTTTAAATTTGATGATTTATTAAACTAGTCATAGTTACTTAAATATTAATTTAAGTTATTTACGGACGACTTTTTGTTGTCGTCACTGATCACTAAAAAAAATGTTATTAGTGACAAAATTTTGTAGTGATGACAATAAGTCGTCACAAAAGGAGCTTCTTTAGTCGCGACACCTAAAGTTGTCACAATTGCATCAAAGCAACTAAATATTTAGTGACGACCCGTTATTTTCGTCACAAATTACACTGCAAGAAATATGGTCATTAGTGACAACATTTTTTAGTGACGACAAAAGTCGTCACAAAACGTGGTTGTTTAGTGACGACAAAGAAAGTTGTCATAATTGCTTAAAGCAAATAAGTCTTCAGTGACGACCTTGAAAATGTTGTCACTAAAATGATCTCTATAGTGACAACTTCTAATATCGTCACTGTCACTCTACCGATTCGGATTTAGTGACAAGAATTAATTGTCACTGTTTAAAGTAATTATTTTTAAGTCACTTTCATTAATTCTACTGTGTCACCCTAACTTTTGCGATTTAGCCCAAATGTTGTAAAAAATTCCATTAATTCCATTATGATACCTTAACTTTTACAATTTAGCTCCATATGTAGTACACCGATTTCTTTAATTCTATTATTACTCCCTAACTTTTGTAATTTAGCCCCATATGTAATTCACCAATTTCATTAATTCTATTATGGCACTCTAACTTTTGCAATTTAACCCCCATATGTAATACACCAATTTTATTATTTCTATTATGGCACCTAGCTTTTACAATTTAGCCCCTATTTTTTTATTAGGAAATTGCGAATGGTATCTTGATAAACTATGCATAAATATTTTATAATTTTCTCAAACTTAAGTAATAATTTGTTATAAACTCTAAAGATATATCTTTCATTACACTAGTTATAAGGCAGACAGGTCTTTTTATCAATGGAATAAGAAATTTATGCCAGATTTATCTTTTGTACTACATGCCAAGTAGTATTAGCAAAGGAATAACAAAGTACTACAAAGTAATTAACAAAATAGCCTTCAGAGAGTGTAGTTTATGGGCAAATGAGCATTATCTATTCAAAGTACCAACTTTTTATGGGTATTTTACTTTCAAACATATAATTTATGATAAATTTATAAATGTTTGTAAGTAAAATTCAAAAGTGTTACACTGATTTCTTACAAAACGAAAACTGGCATGTTATCTTTTCAACATAAATTAAATTTTTTTTAAAAAAGAAATGACCCATAAAGTACAACTCTTTGTGGGTTTCCTCCATTACATGAACTTTGGTGATAACATTATGTCATCATTAAATTTTCTTTGATTTTGACTTAACAATAATGTCTTATTAATAGCATTTGATTATTTTTAATGAAAGTCTGTTATAACCATAGAATTTGACTTTCGTTATTTTCAATTACATGATGTTCTTTAGTGCTGCAATTATAAGAAATTAGTATAAAATATTAACAAATTATAAAAGTACATTTTCAATTATATGAAATTAACAAATTTTGCCACCTATGTTGATGAAAATTTTTATTTTTTGCTAAAAAATAAAGAATAATACTATAGCATTAAAAGGCAATTCGTCAGGCAAATATCCTTCAAAAGGCACTGCTACTTTAAACATATTTTTCTACTTTTGCCCGCGTCAATTCATCAGGAAAAGTTTTCATTTTCCCACCATTTTTTTACCACCAATTTTTTTCCTTTTCGCCCAAAAAAGAATTTAGACGGACATTAACTTATAGTAGGTTGCAAAATGGCCTTCACAAAAGCCCCAATCTTCATCATCCTCTTCCTCATCACCCTCCTCCCGATCTCCACCAATTCTCAAGACCCCAGTTCGGATTTGCTCTTGCAGCTCGAATCCCTCCAATCCCAGTCCCCCAAAGGCGGCGTTATCCATCTCACTGATTCCTTCAAACGGATTCTATCCATTCCAACTCATCATCCCTGTACTTTCCTCGTCTTCTTCGACGCCCAACAACTCCACTCCATACCCGAACTCTCCCTCCCTTCTCTCAAATCCGAGTTCTCCCTCGTCTCTAAATCCTTTTTAGCCAACAACCCTCCAACTTCTCACTCAAAACTCTTCTTCTTCGACATCGAATTTCAAGAATCCAGTCCTTTTTCGCCTTTTTCGGAGTAAATTCTCTGCCCACACCGATGTCAAGAAAGACTCCGTCCAGATAAATGCATCAGATTTCTCGAGCTCGCCGAATCCATGGCTGAATTTGTCAAGGCCAAAATGAAGCTGAGCATTGGGCCAATTGATCGCCCCTCTTTGATTTCTAAGAAGCAATTGATGTTTCTCATTGCTGTTATTGATTTCGGCTCCATTCTTGGTGAAAAAAGTGATTTATGGGAACACCCTTTTGCACAATAAGAGTATTTGGATGACCGGAGAGATTTTTGTCTACTTTTTCAGTGTCTCCGGTTCAATGCATAACATAATTAGGAAAATACCCATGTTTTTGGTTGATAGGAATGACCCTGGGAAGTTGGTTTTCTTTTATCAGGGGGTCCGGGATGCAATTGGAGCTAAAGGGTTCGCGGTTGGGTTCTTGTACACTGTGGTGGGATTGTTGCTGGCTTTTGTTACTCATGTTATTGTCTATGTGAGGAATAGGAATGCTCAGAGGTTGGTGATGTTTATTTCCTCCTGGGCTGTTCAGATGATTTTTGTTGGCATTCTTGTCGCATTTCTGGTTTCTTGATTTTAGTTTGTTCTAACCGTGTTAGTTTTTGTTAGTGTTTCAGATAAGGAAAATTGACGTTTTATTTTTGGTGTAAATTAACAATGTACCTTTTATTTTGCTTTTGTGCTCATATTCTGTATTTGCAACTGTTGCTAAAAAAATTGAATCATGTAATTGGCAGTGATTTATGTATCTTTTTGGTGTTGTCTTGGTGAAATGCTTGTAATAAGCATAGCAATCACTTGTTTTCTCGTTTTCTATGGTATCTGTTCTAGATCTTCTTTCACATGTAGATATGGCGTTGAGATAAGTTTCCGACTAAATGAGGAAAGGTGCAATTTTGAATGGTAAACCTGCGGCCAAATTGCAAATCACATGCCAAATTATGAACTAGAGCTATAAGTTGGCATTTGCAGTTGTAGTGGGTGTTTCTTCAGGAGTTGGAAGAATTTGATTCACAATTCCATAACATTTTAAAAGGCTATACTACGTACTCAGTAATTAGACTAGAGAGGATGATGCTTGAGTGCTAGAGCTTAGTGCAAGAGATACTGCTATATTATTTGTGACATAAGTAATTCTCAATCAACTTGCACAACGGTGATCTTTATGGTAGTTTTAGTTCAAGTAAGAATAAGTACTTTGTAAAATCTGTTTTGCTTGCTTTCCTGGAATTTAAGTTTCATGTCTTACATGGTAGTTTGTTCTCCATATAGCATTATTTTATACTATATAATCACAAACTTTTTGCTGGATGTAGGTTGGATTTTCTGTTAACGGAGTAATAATACTAACTTTTATGTGGGTTTTGAAGGCATTCCTTGAGGTAATACCTTTTCTTTTCACATGAATGGTTCCCATTTTTGGTGCCATTCTTGAAGTAAATTTCATTGTGAATGTTTTGCAATGTCCCGCCACTTGCCTAACTTACTAGTTTGATTGGAATACAATATTAAGGGGTGCTGGTTTTCTATGGAATTAATACACCATGACAAACAGCAAAAGTAATTTCAGAGATCTAGAACAAGAAAGTTGTTTTTTGCTTTTAAATGGCAAAGAAACATTCTAGTTATGTTGGTACACATTGCTCCTACTTGACACCTTATATCATGATCGACATTACTTTGGTTATCATACTTGACACCTTGTATCCTCTGTGGTGCATTAGTTTGGATTGTTTTGGTTTAGTTTAGTTTAGTTTATTTGAATGTTTTAGCTAAGCAAGTGAACTGAAGTTGCTTTTCCTTTAGTGTTGTGCTTATCGTCTTATCAACTGGTTATATTGTTCATAGCAGTACTTATATCAGTACTTGTTATAGTAGTGCTTGTTGCCTTATCAACTTGTTATATTATTCCTTTGAGGCTGAAGTTTAATAGCAGTACTTATTTCTTGAGCTAATTTGGTGCATTAGTTTGGGCCTGATTTTGATTTTCTTTGGGGCTGATTTTGAATGTCCAGCTTTAATTATTGAGGTTCTTATTGGATTGCAAATTTTAGCTAAGCAACCGAACTACAAGAGATATAGTGAAATTGGGAAATGGCAAGGTTTAGTGAAATTTTGTCTGATGTTAAAAATTCCCCCTTGTGTTGAAATTTGGTATTTTTTTTTCACGACAAAACAGCCTAGCAAATTGTCACACTTAAAAGACAGTATCTTTTATCGGAACAAAACAATGACTAAATTCGTTTATATTATTCCAATCTTGTTTGCCACATCCAAAGCATCGTAGTCTGGAGTCAACCGAACATATGCTTTCTTTGTTCCATCAGGCCTGATCAAAGTGTTCACTTTCTTGATCTGTATGTCGTACATCTTCTTCACTGCATCTTTGATTTTCTTCTTATCAGCACGGATGTCAACTATGAATACCATGGTATTGTTATCTTCAATCTTTTTCATGGCAGATTCAGTAGTCAAAGGATATTTGAGAATCTGATAATGGTCCAACTTATTCCTAGGAGGAGCACTGATGCGTGGGTACTTCGGGTTCCCGTCCTTTTTCAATGTCTTAGGACGATGGAAGGTAACTTTGGTCCGGATCTTCTTGGCTTTCTTCTTAAAAGTTGTCCCAGATTTGACAAATTTGGCAACCTTGGCTATAGGGTGTTGTTGAACTTCATTATGATATTTGAATGCTTATATGATATTTTGACATTTCGTAATGCAATGGATGCATTCATTTGCTAATTATAAATCATTGTCATTTTTTTCCATTTATAGATATAATTGTTGTAGGAAAATTTTCAATTTTCATGGTGATAAAGAGTTATCATTGAATCAGAATTTTTCATTAATAACAATATATAGTTGCACTTAAATGTTCGCTTTTGTTTATATGCTGATTTTAAGTTTAAGGATGGAGTGTAATTACTTGTAAGATTTTTTTTGTTTATTGTACCAGTTGTCACTAGATTTGGTTCAAGAATGGCTAGCAGAGAATGCCAAGGAATCAATATTGGGACAGGACATGAGTATTAGTGGAATAGCAACTTATCAGCCATTTGATGGATTGATGGAGTTGAAAGTGGTAAGTACTTTGACATTACGTCTCATTTCTATCTGTTGTGCAGTTAATACTTGTTGAGTTGCGTAAAAACCTCTGAAGTTTATTGCATTTCCTGCTTCTACTGTGCAAATTTTTCTGAAGCAATTTCTGTTCTGAAGTGCTATTGACTCTATTAAAATTGAAGGAGAAACTTCCCATGCAGCAAGTAATTTGAATGAATGCCTTCTATCTGTTTTATGGTTAATACTTGCTGGGTTGCATAAGAATCTCTAAAGTTTATTGCATTTTCTGCTTCTACTGTGTTAATTTTTCTGAAGCAATATCCATTCTGAAGTGCTATTGACTCTGCTAAAATTGAAGTAGAAACTTCCCATGCGGCAAGTAATTCGATTGAATGGCTGCTTTGATGATGTATATTTAATTCATATGAAGTATCTTTTGGTAAGTGCTTTAGAATGAGTAGAATCTTGGTGAAGAATCTCCACTTGCGATACAAAATTGAGTGTGAAGCTAGTTGATATCCTGATTCTATCTAAACTAAAGACAGAAAAACAAGGGAAAGACATTCGAAATGAAGCAAATATGTCCTGCATGAGTCTAAATCATTCTGTCAATGCACAAAATCGTGTCATGAAGACAATCTTTGGCAGATGTCACAGCACAAATTAGTCATGTATGTTGTACTACTTCTTTGAACTACTGGAATTTGCAATGCGTTCCATTGGTAGCAGAGTACAGGCAAGAAAATGAAAAACTAGATTAAAAAAATTCCAAACGTATTTAAGACTCAGGGCTTGCTTTTGCCTGCCTAAAGTCTCAAAAATCTTGAAAATGATTACTGTTTCATGTTTTTTGGTAATCAATTTGTGGTTTTCAAACAATGAATTACAAGTTTGGTCACTACAATTTGTTGTATGTGATTTGTCACTTGTAAATAATGGCTTTGACATTCCTGTGTATCCTAACCAAAGTATTGTGTCTGCATAATTATGATATTGACAAATGTGCTTAATGAACACTAGTTGCTAACTCACTTTAGTTAAAAGATGATAGTTTTGAATATGTTTCTGCTTCTTGTAGTAGCACTTTCTCTCCCCCTGCCACTGTTGGAGTCTTAAAAGTAATTATTCTGGCAATAAGTCCACAGGTTACTATTAACATGGACTCGGATAAAGTTTGACTTTTTGGCTCTAGGTGTAGCTCTTATAGCTTCCAGCTATTAGGATATCCAATTTGTCTCTTCAATTAGCCAACTTGCAATCATGTGTACGGTGCTTGGACTTGCTTTTTATCTTGTTGCTGTATATGCTGATTCACTATTCTTGTAGGCAGTAGTTGGATTCATGTCTCAAGTAATGGACAAATTAGTATCCTTCAAAAGTGCTTGGTAGGTGACAATATTAACTTGTAGTATCAAGCCTCAAAAGTGCTTGGTAGGTGATAAGGCTGCTTTTTCTTGTTTATTAGACCTTATGTATAGTTACATATTTTTAGATATATGAAATCCTATGACATTCAAAGCTTCAAAGACTACTTTTGGTCTAAAACACAGTGAAGTTTGCAAAGTTGTTTCTCATAAATGTGGAATCGTTTGTTGCTGTCCTTTGACATCTTAATATTAAAATAAAGAAGTGGAACAATTCTGCCCATATAATCCTTGGCTCTTAATGAATGTTATTAAACTTCCATCCTCTAGTAGACTCTGTTTCCGAACTACCCATATAATGTCTCTTTTTCTACTCTTTGTATAGCCACTATCTAGATGAGACTTAAAACAAATGATTCACTTTATTTTTTGGTGACTCCTTAACTAATTTTCCTTGTTTTAATTTTTCTATCATCTACTAATAACTTTACTATTTTATTGCAGATATATTGCTCATTTTAGAGGTTTGGAAGATTAGCAGTACGGCTTACGTGTCGTCTAAAAAACTATGGTTATAGTGCTATCTTAAGTTTAGAAAATGTTTCGGTAGCACGGAAAATGTTTTGGGACTTGGAATTGTTTTTTAGTGTAGCCTTGACTTATATGGCAAAATTTGCTCTATTGAAACTTATCAAACTATTTGTAGTGTGATGTTGCACTTATTTATGACATTTGAATATTTAATATGTTATTATGGCATTTCCTATTGTAACGGGTGTCTACGTTTGTTATTTATTAAACATTGCTGATGTTTTCATTTTTTAGATATTATTGTAGTAGGAAAATCATCAAACTACACATTGCAAGGTGTTGTAAATGAGTAGCATTTCTCAAGCAGGCTGTCTTTATTGACAATTGTTGTTGTCACTGAATCAAAACTATTCATTGATAAGAAGTTGTTGTCACAGTTGATAAGGGGTTTATTGACAACAAAGTTGTCACTAATTAATATATACACTGACTATGTTGCTTCATGCATCATTGACAAGAAAGCATGTCGTCACTAAATTTGTAGCTTTTATTGACAACATATCTTGTCATAAAAAAGTTTTTATTCACTGACGACTTTAAAGTCGTCACTGTATACTTTTACCGACGGAGATTCAGTGACGACTCTGTGACAACCGAAATGTTGTCAATAAAAGTCATCAGTGACGACTTTTTGCTTTTTTGTGACGAAAAGTAGTTGTCATTGAAGACCAAAATTCTTGTAGTGGGAAATCCCTAAGGGTCTAGCGTTGGACTAGCCCATTCTATGGATTCCTACTAGCGTTGGACTAGCGGAAACGTACATTCACCCATCACATTCATTCATGGCTATGGAAAGCGAGTAGACATGCCAAACACTCATAAACACATAGCACATAACATTTAGCATGCTTGACTAGATGCAAGGCCCTAACAAAGCAAATTAACACGTAGCAACTAAGCATGCAAGACACATAAGACAATTAAAGCCCTAACTATTACATTTGCTAGCTAGGCACATGACTTCGACAGGTCTTCATTGAATGCTCCTCCAAGCCCTATCTATTACATTAGGGAGACCCTACTACAATCTAAAAGGGGGAAAAGGAATAAAATAATTAAATCCCTAACTATTACAAGCCAAGAGGTGTACACATACCCCATAAAGAATAACTAAAAAAAAAAGCAAAAGTAAATGACATAAATAAAAGAAATTAAAGAAAGGCTAGGAAAGCAAAGTAGACATGTATTTCTCACGTAGCACGTTGGTTCACATAGGAGAGACAAAAAAAGATAAAGAAGTTATACCTCCCTTTGAATGGCGTCCAAATGAAAGAAAAATGGCTTCAAAACAATAAAGGGGTTAAGGCATCAATTTAAAAGTAAAGTATGAGCAAAATCACCAAAGCCCTCCTTATTGCAACTTGAATGAACTCAAAAGATGCTTAAAGACCAAGAAAACGGAATAACCCGTCCAATTTCCAAGTATAGCATCTACTAAAAGCTCAAAACAACCCTTGATCGATCATTCAAGTCCAAATGACACATTTTAGGAACTTTAAAAGTCCAAAAGTAAGGAAAGGTCAAAATAACCCATTTATTTAGGGAAGTTAAAGAAAATAGGCAAAAACAAACTTATTTAGACACAAAGTTCACAAATTCATGCATTAAATACCACCTAAACAAAAGAAAGCAAATGAGCAATGAGTTGCAAAGTTGAGGCTACCAAGGACTCAATTGCGAACATTAACCAAGTACTCAAGCTTAAATCAAACACTTTTAAGAGCTTCGGGGGTCCAAGGGCAAAGGAAAAGTCAAGTAAGGGGTTGAAATGCAAATGATTTAGGACTTAATTGCAAGAAATGAAAACATAATTGAGTCTTAATGAAACAAGGAGATATGTGAATGGTCAAAGTGAAATTATTCTAGGACTTGATTGCAAGCAATTGGAATGTAATTGGGTCCTTGTAGAACAAAGGGGACTTGAGGGGTTAAAAGGCAATTTCTGAAATATTTTCCATGCAGTATACATGCAAAGCTACGAGATATGGTTTGCAACAAGAAATATTTCTGATAAAAGCTTTCCACAGCCAAGAAACATCACCGCATCTTGCATTCACGCACACTGATTTCCACCCCAAGCAATCTTTTGATCAAAAGCTTTTCAACCAAACATCCAAAACCTTATCTAAGCAACATGTAACGCAATTTGGACATTCAAACAAACCAGAATATAGAAGGAAAAATCATGCAAATACTGGAAAATTCAATGCAAAATGGTTCGGCAATCCTACTCTATGCATTGTCCAGCAATGTTTAGACATGTTTCAAACTTTCCTTGAACCCAAACACACAAACATTAACACCACCTTCCAATACATTCCTTCAACATCAAATTAAACTAACAAAAGAGGTTTAAAACCAGTTTTGTGAGCTGTTATGGGAAGAAAGGAAAAAAAACAGCAAAGTGTGAGGATGAAGTGTAGTTTTTTTTTTTTTTTTTTGACAGAACACGTGTAGGAGGAAACGAAATGGGAGCAACGGAAAACAACACCAGTGTGCAACTAATAGAACCTAAAACCAGATGCATTGCTCTTAACTGAAGCAAACAAACCAGAAAAAAAACAAGTTACATGGCTCCAGCTTTCCCCTATTCATTTTTCTTCTCGACTTTGAAAGCAAAAAGGAAGCTGTGTGCCTTCTAAACATAGCCAGCTTATGAGCAGTCCACAAAACTCCACCGAAACCCAAAAAAAAACAATTACTTGAGCAAAATAAACAAACAGGAGCAAGGGGAATGAAAACAGCATAAATGCAAAATTACAACCTAACCACAATGAAATGGCTGCAGTTGCCATGAGCGCGAAAGCTTCAAGCTCACTGCAGCAGACTTGTGCACACAAAATCCCACCCCCAACGTCATCTGATCCCAAGAGACAAAATTATCAAGCAAAAACTGCACCCAAAACACAGGTAAACAACGAAAAGGAAGCATCTTTGTCTTGTAGAATGCAAGAAAAACGTAAGGAAATAGCAGAAAACCAACTGGATTCTTCCCATAAGCAATCATCAGAGAAGACAAGCAAGTTAATAACTCTGATTTTCATCCTTTGCTAGCAAATGTTAAGGATAAGAGGGAGAAGAATCCATTACAGTGTTTTTCTCAAAATTTCGATGGCGATGGCGGTGGGTCTTGGCAAGCGATGGCTACTTCCAGCTCTCCATCCGTTGTTTGCTATTGGTTCAAGGCCTCCCTCCGTTGGCCTCTTTTGATTTCTTTTACTCTCGGCCGCAACTGCAGCTCTCCCCCGCTCTCTTAGTTGCTCACCAAGAACCTCTCTATCCCCTCTTTCTGGTCTTTCTTTTCTTTTCTTTTCTCAGATTTTTCCGCCGCTGATTTTCTTTCTGCTCATCGAGAGACTTCCCCCCTTTTTCTGGTTTCTTTCCCCTTTCTCCCGTGAACTCTCCTCCTCCTTCTTCTTCCCTCAGCTTCCCTACCAAAACTCCATGCCAGCTACCCAGTTTTCCTGTCCTATTTTCTTCCCGTACAAACTCTCTCAGCCGCGCCTCCTTTTTTCTTCTCTTGCCGTTTCAAACTCTCTCCCCTCAAACCTCCCTTTTACGCTGCCATCTCCTTTCCTTTTATATGGGAACCTCCAACCCTAAAACTCTAGTACTTTCTTCCATATTTGCAGCCAAAGGATCTGCCCGAAGCCCTTCTTTGCAAGCTGCGACAAAACGCAGCTTGGCATGCCGCGTTTTTTTTTTTTAAAACAACTTAACAAAATAAGATAACTAATTAATAATAAGAACTAATGAAGAAAAAATTAAATACAATGAGCGGAAATAAGCATAAAAGGATAAATGAAATGCTAATTTCTCTTTTCTTTTTTTTTTCTCTTTTTCCCTTTTTTTCTTTTTTTAATAATTTAGCAAAAATGGTAATAAAATTAGTAAAAACCAACAATTTAATTAACATCAGATAAAAATAAATAAATAAATAAACTAGAAATAATAAACAGCAAAGTTGCAATTTTTCATTTTTTTCATTTCCTTTATTTTCATTTTTAAAAGTGAAACTAAAATCTAAAACAACTAAAACATATTTTTTGAACGGCTTTTCTTTTTTCCTTTGAGAAATTCTATGCTAAAACTTAAAAAATAAATATAATAAACTAAAACTAAAAAAAATGAATAAAACTCACACGACCAATAAAACTAAAAAACAAAAGGTAAATGTAATAGACCACTAAAAGAGCAAAAACGAATAAAACTAACAATAATGATCTAAAATGCTATACAAATGCAACAGTCTAAAACGAAAATCATGAAATTAACAAAAATAAATGGATACGAATTATCACTAAAAACGGAGCATACAAATTATTCAAAATTTGGTGTCTACACCTTACACTGCGAATACACGAAAAACCCTATTTCACTTTGATTTGAAATCGGAAAGGAAAACCCTAATTTCCTATGATCATTGCATTTTTTTTTTCTAGGATGATTGAGTAGTAAGATGGTATAGAATAATATTTTCCAAATAATTTTCAAATAAAAGGAAATTTTCAAGAAATATATAAGGAATTTGCAAGTCCTCACACCTGCGGGTCGGGGACCATCTGTTCCTCGACCATTCTTAAAAGGTGGCTCACTTCTCGAACTCTGTCCGGTCGCAAAATTGCTCGAATCGGGTTGCCTCCTTTTCCGATCATGAAAGACTTTTACCTGTCCCCTAGCTGTCTCAATCCGTTGTGTTTTTTCTAGCGCCTGGTTAAACGTGTCCAACTGAGCAGCTGCTAGTGCCTCCTGGATCTCCACATTCAAGCCTTGGATAAAGCGGCGAATTCGCTTTTGCTCCATTAGCACCAATTCCGGAGCAAAACGAGAGAGTTTTGTAAACTGGGTTTCATACTCCGCCACACTGGATGCCCCTTGGCGCAGGTGGATAAAATCATCCTCACGTCTCTCTTGTACAATGGGAGGTAAATATTTTTCATTAAATTCCCGTGTAAAATTAACCCATGTCCAGGGGGTCTGTTCTCACTCCCACTTGGCTTTAATTACATTCCACCAAACTCGAGCAGCCCCCTCAAACTGAAAAACAACAAAAGATATCTGTCGTTCCTCTAAATACCAAGTACGGCAAATATATCCATCATACGGTCCATCCAACCCTCTGCTAGGTTAGGATTAGGTCCACCTATAAACTTTGGATGTGCAAATTTTTGGAACCGTTCTAAGGCACGGTCCTCTCTCTCATGATTGCCTGGATTATTTCCAGGATTTCCTGTAGTATTCCCATGGTCCTGACCCTGCTGGTCAACCATACGTTCTAACAGGTCAGCCATTCGTTGGATGGCTGTAGCCACTTGATCTGGCTCATGTTCATTTTCCCTTTCAAGGTTTCGTTCTCGCCCTTTACCTCTACCCCGACCACCGGAGTCCATTTAGATGCAAAAGTCTATAAATACCAATAAAATGTACACTTGGTATTCAAAATGTGAACAAAATAGAGAATACCAAATGAAAATGCACATATACAAGAGTCACACACAAAAAAAATGAACCCAGAAAAATTGTTTTCAACTATATACATATATGTACACAAAAGGTTATATACCAAAGTGTTCCCAAAAGTCACATATATATCTACAAAGTCATACCAAAAGAGTTACAAATCACCCGACCTCCAGTCGGTACAAAACCCAGTATATACATGAGCACCCAGCTCCAAAATGTAGTCAGTCAACCAAATAACAAAAGAAACCAGCCATGTCAGTTCTAACAAAAGTAATCCGCCAGATAGTCAAAAAAAAGTACAAAGGCGACCCTAAACGCCTCCCCTAGGAACCGAATTCCCAACGGAACCTAGAGTATCCACCTCGTCCATCAGCTCTGGGCCGGTAACTCGTGGGGGTGCCTCTGCGGCCACATCTAATAGGACCTCACAGTCTAGCATGATACCCCGAGCCCTCTCCCTCAGCTGCCCCTGCAAGGCGAAGAGGTGCTGGTGTGTGTCATGAATCTGACGATGAAGAGCGTCCGTCCTCTCCACCTCAACTCGGAGGCTCTGGTCCAACTCCCTAATATGCATAGCCTGCCCATGACCAACCTCTCTAGCCTCCTCAAGCTATCTAACCAGGCGATCGGTCGCCTTCCCCAGGTAACGTCGCTCGTCATCCACTGCCAGGACGATCTCATCCGAGTAGCCATATGTATGGCGACACTCACACGATCGGTGCGGCATCCGACGAAAGGGTGAATACGAAATGTAGGGCTCCCCAGGTCTCCTCTCCTCTGATATCGGATCTCCCACCTACGTAACACCCGGTTCACCGAGCCCCCGCACTCGGAGGTTTCAGTCCCGGTCCAGATCCTACGCCACTGGGTTCCGTACCACTAGAACTGCCCGGATCCATACCTATAAAACATTAAGTCGTCAGTTTACCGGCATTTTAGCTTAAAATATACCATTCATCTTAAAGGAATCATAAGGGATCAAATATGCCTAGTGCCTATCACGTATATCCCAATTGCCTAAGTCCTCTAACTTAGGCGCTCTGATACCGCCTGTGACGCCCCTGCTTCTCCTAAGGGCGAACCCTAGGGTATCAGCAGGACGCCTGCCTAACTCGCGCCAGAACTCGAAATTTCAAAACAATAAAAACTAGATAAACCAAAAGTGTACTATTCACAATATAGCCAACTCCAAAAGAGTTCTATTTACATCCCCAAAAGCAGCTAGTCAAACCACTATATTACATTATGATAACAACCAGCAAAAAGTAGACCCTTGTCGCGCCCATTTTTTGATAAGAAAAAATAAAGGGTTTGAGAAAGATGTTTTTGATTCAATTGTGATTGGAGAATGATTTTTGTGAGTTGAAAAGACATGGGTCTCAATGGGACTTGGGAAAGAGCGACGATTTGACCCAAAAAATAGTTTTTTTAAAAGGGTTTTTAAATGAGAAATTGGAGTCGCCACTTGGTAATGATTAAGGTGTACCAAGTCACCTAAAAAATAAATTTTTAAAGACAAAGTAGTAAAACCCTTTTAAAAACGACTCCTAGTCCACGTAAGCCAAAGAAAAAGGTTCGGGAGTCACGTTTGACAAAGGGGAAGGCAAGGATAGAATCCAAGGCACCCCTTTGACCTAGCCAAGGCTAGTTGCGCGACTTAACCTTACCTTTCCTAATTTTCTACCCAATGTATGTATTGCACGTTGGATATGACTATATGAATGCAAAACGGAAAGGAAAATGCAATCCTAAATTCTACGATGTCTCTTGTGAGGCTTTTGGTCCCAAACCACATGAATTGTGGCGGCCAACAAAGGAAAACCTCATAGAGGTCGATTAATGCAAATGAGAGTTCAAATTTAAGTGTGCAAGTGTGAAAGTGTATGAAAGATGCAAGAAATGTAAGTGCAAGTGTGCGAATGTATAAAAAGGTGCATGTGTGAAATTGTATAAAATTCAAGTGTTTTTTGTGTGCAAATGTGTGAAAATAGAATAATAGATACATAAGGTAAAGTGGAATTTCATTTGTGAGGTGGAAATGAGCACGTGATAGGAAAATGTAGTGAGAAAGTATGGTTTGAGAAATGTGCAAAATTGTGGTTAAAAGTGTATGGATGTGATAAAAATGAAAGTATGACCCTAGAGGAATGCAACAAATTGGGTACGGGGATGACGCCTAATTTTCGACTTTTATTTCCCTCGGATTAGAAGGTAAAACTAGCGTGCTAAGGCTATCGAGTAGCCACACTCGCTCGTTTCCCTTATCAAGAGGGGATTTTCACGCAAATGAACCCTAACTAGCATGAGATGCAAGTCCTAAAGTGAAGGGGAAGGGGTTTGAGGAACATACCAAATGATAAACTAAGGAAAAATGCGTGATATGTGGTGATCATGCACTTAATGAAAAAGGGAAAAAAGAACCTATTGGGTCTAGCATTGGACTAGCTCATTCTATGAATTCCGACTAGCGTTGGACTAGTGGAAACGATAAAAGAAGCCACAACTAGCGTTGGACTAGTGTGGTGACGTACATTCATCCATTCCATTCATCCACACTATAAAAAGCGGGTAGACATGCGAATCACTTATAAGCACGTAGCACATAACACTTAGCATGCTTGACTAGATGCAAAGACCTAATAAAGCGATTAAACACTTAACACGTAGGCATGCGACCAAACTAATGAACCTATTACATTCACTAACTAAAACAAAAGGGGAAAGGGAAATTGGACCAAATTGCTCGCCACAGCCCTATCTATTACAAGCCAAGAGGTGTACACATACCCCATAAAGAATAACTTAAATAAAAAGCAAAAGTAAATGAAATAAATGAAAGTAATGAAAATAAAACTAGGAAAGCGAAGTAGACATGTATTTCGCACGTAGCACATTGGTTCACATAGAAGTGACGAAAAAGATAAAAGAAATTATACCGCCTCCTTTTATGGTGCTAATAGGGTGGACAAGACTTAAATGGCTTATTTATCCTCCAAAATAAAAGAAATGGTCAAGGTACCAATTTATTTGGGGAAAATTAAAAGAAAAGTGTAAATACCAAGCTCACATGATCCTAAAGCCACTAAACCATGAATTGAAGCAATAAGCAATGAAGTTGTAGAATTAAAAAACCACCAAGGACCAAATTGAGACAAATAACCAAGCACTCAATCCTAAATGAACGTTTTTGGGAACTTCAAGGGTCTCAAAACAAAGCCAAAGTCAAGCAATCACAAGCAATCACATAAATGCCTAAGCATTCCATATTCATGAAATAAAGCCCCAACTATTGTGATTAAAATCCTCAAAATCCAAATTCCACATAAAGCCAAATTATCCCATAAAGTTCTTGAAATCCTTTGATCTCATCCTAAAAAAAAAACTGTACAAGAGCCTAACCAAAACATACCAGCAGCAATGAAGACTACAGAGAAACAAGATTGATCAAATAAGTCAAGTAATGGGGCCAATAGTACATTGCTGCGAAATCCAAGGGACCCAATTGATTAAATTTTCAAAATTTCTGGGTCATAGTGGCAGAAGGGGAAACTTGAGGGGTTAAGATGCAATTTTGAAGAGCTATTCCATGCATGCACGAAGAAGATTTTTGCAATGAAGAAACTCAGCAATATAGTTTCTGTGCTTGTTACTCATTCGGCCAAATTCACATTTATACAAACAACCCAAACACAAGATGCAAGGACTTGAACAAAGATAGGGAGAAATCCAAACAGGCTTTTGAACTCCAAACAGCAAAAGTGATCTGAACCATATGCTAATCTTTGAAAATCAAGAGTTTCTGCAACCAAAACAAAGGCTGCTCCCTTTTATTTCCCAAAGCTTCGACAACATCCAGCAACAACTACATCCATCTCATCATACAAAGAAGTTCATCAAACCAGAAAATATTGACCTGTGACGCCCCGAAAAAAAAGAGTTTGAGAACCCGTAAAAACCCTAATCCTTTTCGAGGGTTTTACTTCCTTTAATAGCATGTTTTCTGTGTTTTCTGGCTTAGGAAATTTTCATGAGGAATTTTTATGAGTAATTATAGTTTTTAGATGATTTTTCTAGCCTTGGAGAGTTTTTGAAAAATTAAGAATATATAATGGACGTGGGACCCACTAGTGCGAAAAGTTCGAAAAATTCGGCCAATTAGGTTAAATTCCGGATACTGTGTAAAATTTATCGGGTGTTAAGAGATAAGTAGAGAGTGAGATTTGATTGATGTGAGAGGAAAGAGAAAGATAAGATTGCATTTATGAAGGTGACAAGTGTCACCACTACATTGGTTTTAACTTAAGAGTTACTATTCACCTTTTTGACTTTTGACCCATTTG